GTGGGGGGTCCTAGATGGGGCGTTTTCGGGTAAAAGGGGGGGGAGGGGGGTTAGAATTTTTTTCCCCCCCCCCCCCCCCCCCCCTCCGAAAGAAATACCACAAAGTCAAGTATTCATGTCTTCCAAAATCTTTTGTCCGCGACACTTGGGGCAAAAAACTACCGAAGTCCTGATTTGTTTCAAGCCCAGCGACCACAAGCGGCACTGTGTTCGAAATAGATAACAGTATATACCTGAAGTCGGAATTCCAGTGGCGCCCTCCTTCAAAAGATGCCAATGACGAGCCATGAGGGTGCACTTGTTTACAGCCAGCCGGTCCTACAACGCCCAACGTTGTTGCGGGAAACGACAACAACAAACGACAACAACAACAGCAAAACAACGTGGCGATTTAAGTCGTCGATTCTTGTCGCAAAAGCATCGGGCTTCTACTACTGGACGTGAATAAAGGGAGTCCTGGTCAGTCCGGTTTTCGAGTCGGTTGTCTAGGTCGGTATCGAAGTAACCATAGAAGCTCCGGAGTTGACCTCGCGGGCGGGGGGCTTCGTGTGTTCGTTCGAAAGATGGTCATCTCGGGGTGAGACGCGCACGGGGGTGGATGGGGGTGGGGCAACATCCCTCCTTGGTGCGATGAACGATATGAGTTTCACGACAAACAATCGAAAACGGAGGGCCGTTTCACAGGGGGTAAACTCAAGGGGGACGGACGGGGAAGCATTACGTGGTTGGGGCATCTGGGGCTGGAGCACTTCTTCTCGCTACGCATCCAAACGACTACGCATCCAAACGACCACGAATCCGCGGGTCATGGTTGGGTGCAGACAGGGGGCATCACGCCGGGGACCCAAGCGTTTTTCGTGCTTGGTTCGCCCACCCGCTCTCCAGAAAACGATCTTGAAATGCCGTGCAAGCGAACGAGTGTGTGCGCGCGGTATTCAGCGAATCGTGGGGTCAAACCCCGAAGCAAGAACGTGTCGGAGAACAGCAAAAATCGATGCCAAGTCTGTCCGTCTTCGGATGAAAAAGACTGAGTTACACAGTCGCCGTCCAAATCACCTGGGTGAGAAGGCGCGCTACGCCTCCGCCCTCTCCAGCTGCGGGGACGTTCTCTTCCGAGAGCGGGGGGTCTCCGCGGCAGAAAGCGTCCATCAGCATGTCGGCGCCGAGGGCGATGCGGATCACGCCGAAGCTCGCCCCGCCCAGCTTGACCGGTTGGCCGAACAGCACGCGAAGGCGGGCCGCGGCACGGTCGCCCACGGCCAAGTCTACCCAATGGAACAGGCGTAGGGGGGGGGGGGGGGGGCAAAGGGAGAAAAACCCGGGGGGGGGTATTTAAATTTGGGGGAAGGGAAACGGGGGGGTCCATTTGGGGGTGTCGGGGCCCGGAAGGGGGGGGGGCCCCCTCCCCCAACGGGAAAAACTTTTTTCGGGGAAGGGGTGCCCCCGGGGGGAAAAAAAAACCCGGAAAGTACTCCCCTTTAGGGGGGAAAACTGGGGGGGGGACCAAAAAAAGGGGGAACCTTTTTCAAACCCCTTGGGCAGGGACCCCCCTTTTTTTTTGGGAAAATATTACCCCGAGGTTTCATACAAGGGAAACAGGACCCGAAAAAAAAAAAAAAAACCCCCCTTGGGGGGGGGAAAAACCCAAGGGGGGTTCCAACCTAAGTT